AATTGCTTGTAGCATCGGTTCATACATTGTTAATGACCACAAAGGAATCCTGGAAACACTAGCTTTAAGTTACCATCATTTACCTCATCACTTGAGAGAGTGCTTTCTTTATCTAGGAGGCTTCCCAGAAGACTTTGGGTTTGTTGTGGAAAAGTTGATATGGTTATGGGTAGCTGAGGGGTTTATTGAAGAAGCTGAAAATCGAAGCTTGGAGGATACTGCAAAGGCTTACCTTATGGATCTAATCAACAGAAATCTTGTAATTACTGTAAAGAGGAATGTAATTGGTGATGTAAAGGCTTGTAATCTTCATGATCTTGTGAGGGAACTATGCCTGCAGAAAGCAAAAGAAGAAGGATTCTTCCTTAAAATAGAATCTCAGCCATTGTATCAACAACGCCGCGTGATCACAAATGAAGATATCAGCATTGTGGACAACACTCACTTCCCCACCCCAACCATTCGATCGGTTTTGTGCTGTCATAAGCGCAGGCACATGCACTCGATTAAATCCATTGCACATTGTTTTGTGCTTCTAAGGGTGTTAGATCTACAAAAATGTCAATTGCATGATTCTGCAGAGGGGTTAGCATTACTAGTCCACTTAAGGTACCTTGCAATTTGGTTTTCACCCGAATTCCCAAACTCAGTATGCAAATTATGGAGCCTTCAAACCCTCATTCTTAAAACATCTTCTTTAAAAAATATGCATTTACCTCGTAACATAACAGATTTGGTAAATCTGAGGCATTTGTGGAGTAACGTCGTGCTTTCTCTTCCTTATATTGGAAAACCAATGAATTTGCAATCCGTTTCGTATGTGTTGTTCAATGATGGGGTAGATAATTTTCCGAAATGTTTTCCCAGCATCAAGAAGCTAGCATTGGGTTGTTTCAAGGATGACGAATATCACTTTGAATTACTCCCTTACCTTGAAACCTTGGAGTTACACGGGTCGAGCTTGCAACAGAATCACATTTCATTCCCTGCAACTTTGAAAAAACTTACACTTGTATATTGTTTACTACCATGGAGCAATGTTTCAATCATTCAATCATTACCTAACCTGGAGGTTCTCAAACTAAAAGACTATGCGTTTGTGGGAAGACAATGGGATGCAAGCGAGCAGCAGTTTCGGCAACTAAAACTCTTGACGCTTGAGAGGTTAGATATCAAACACTGGGAAGCCTCTAGTACAAGCTTCCCATGTCTTAAACAATTATCATTGTTGAAATGCAAAAATCTGGAAGAGATCCCTCTTGAAATAGGGGAGATCGCAACGCTTGAGCATATTGAAACTGACAGCTGGAGCAACTCCGTTGTGGAATCTGTCAAAAGAATKCAACAAGAACAACACGATATGGGAAACTATGAGCTGAAGATCACTGTTGATAGAATGGAGTTATCCTTTTATTTATCTCAGCATGAGGATTCAGAGTCAGAATGAAAATTCGTTGAGTTCATGTTCACTCTCAACTCTCAACTGTCGTTTGCTCTCGTGTTTCTGTTAATTTGTGTTGGCTCAGTTCAAGCAGTGCTTGAAATCGATACAATTGAGGAGCTGATAATGACGGAATATAGCATTATGAGGGGGAGAATGAATTGTACAAAATGTCAATATTACTGTTAATGAATAACGGGTGATGGCTGAGCGAAAGCTCATTAACATTAGAGTCTAGAATGCCTATTATAAGTTTGTTTTTGATATTTTGAGAAGGCTATGGTTTAACACTAAACTTCCGCTTTTCTGCGCAGCTTCATATACATGATCATGTGAGATTCCAAACAAGGGATTGTGTGGTATGTTTATATCATTCATGTCTTTGAAGGGTGCACGATCATGCGAGTCACTTATGGTTACCGGTTCCCATAATTACCCTATTAAGTATGTTCTTATTGAATTAGAGTATATATCTGTGAGATTACAGCTGACTTTTGCGCAACTGTGTTCGTGTTTGTTGGTTTACGAAGAACGTTTGGCACATGCACAGTAGAGTGAGCATGATGTTACCTGTTTCGGCCATGAATGCACTGATGATCACATAGATTGAAGTCTTCACTAGAAGCACAGTAGCATTAACATTGGCAAATAAGAACAATGAGAAAATTACAAACTTACCCAACCATAAGAAATGAGCTTAAAATGAACATGAACAAATTAAAGCATGGCAAGGCAAGATAAATATGAACAAAACCATGAAGATTGTCATTTAAGATCAAGTCTGAACTGTTTTTTCATTCAGAACTATTTTTTTGAGTGAAAAACCCATTGAACTTTTTCATTTTAAATGATTAAGTCCCTGAACTTTGTTTTTTGAATAAATAAACCATCTAACTTCTAAAAATTGGTTACTAACATTTTTTAAACCAAAAAAAGCTACCTCAAAACCCCGGTTAGGAAGGTTTTAAAGTAAAAAAAACCTAAATCAATTTTACCGTTTCCAAAAAATTGCAAGCCAGGCCCACTAGAAATTGAACATATAAGTAGCCAAGAAGTCAAAGAATGAAACATACCAATACCAAAATGGAAGAAATCAAGCACATATATAGTCACAAAAATGGCAACTCAGAGCTCGAAGCAGAAATCGCTCCCAAAGCCGGAGATAGGACAAAGACAGTTGTTAATGCACACAAGATATCATGGAATTCATACACGTTTAAAATGCAAAATGAATTTGGATTGATTGTAAATCTTATGATAATTCATAACTACACGCCTATGAGAATTTTCTTAGATCCTATCATGGAATCGGATTGGATTATGGACACACATGTTATCATAAAGATGTTTTCAGTTTCCATAATTCTGTTTTATACCACGATATGATCCAAGACACTATGGAATTTGTAATAGTAAGAAAACAATGAGTATAGAACCTGGATAAAAATTGAAATCGGGGGAGAGCTCGTTTTCCTTAAGGTATATTTTGACCCTAAACTTTCAGGATATCATGAAATTCATTCAAGGATCATCTCGATTTATCAGTTGATAGCACGTCAGTATGTCGTTTCATGAGCCGATGTATCTTTCATCAAGGCTTGCAAACATTGATAAATACCCATCAAGGGCGTGCTACCCCTAAGACCCCACAAGAGGCACGAGCCTTTGACCCCGTCATATGGCACCATCCAGTGATCCCGGGTTAGTGAGACCATATTTGTCGATTAAAAGTTCGCAACACAAAAATTCAAACACGAATAAAATTAGATGCCGAAATAATAGTTGAATACAAAAATACATCGAAATCGCGATTTACTAATAAAAACAACTAACCTAACAATTATTTAATCTAAAATATTTCTGAGCTACACGAGGATTAATTAATATGCTTCCAAAACTATTGAATCAAAGTCAACTTAACGGATACCTTCTTTGGCTCAACCCAACAAGACACTTCACTATCACACAATTAAATATTGTTCTTCAAGATCTGAACAAACAAGATGGCATTCACAGGTCTCCAGATGTTCATGGACAGCTTGAAGAAGCTCATCCATGGCAACCATCATCCACTCATCAATAACAATCCAATGGTTTTATCTGAAAGGCATCAGTTCCAACTGCTTTATCAAGAGCTTGCCTCCATCATTCAAATCCTTTCCAATATCCATCAACATCATCCTCACCTATATGAGCTTAAAAAAGTTAGAGATCTCAAGGGAAGATTCAAAGATGCAGCAGAAAAAGCACAAGATATGATTGATTTATTTATATCTGCTGTTCACTTGACAAACATAGGACTTTCCCCTAGATCAGATGTCTTTCAAATCTCCCTGGATCTTAACAATGTTATGAGATCCATCAAATCTATCAAGGTGGAATTCATGACTATCAACATTGATAACATAAAGATGGATTCGTCTTCAAGAATCGACCACCTCAAAACTCAGTCTGCTGATGAGGATGATGCTGGTAGAAGTACTTCCAGTACCAGAAGTCATTTAGGAACAAGGAAACCATTGGAAGAAATTATTGTGGGGCTTGATCGTGATGCTAAGATCGTACGGGACAAAATTGCTGAAGATACAAAACAACTGAGTGTCATCTCTATTGTAGGTATGGGCGGACTAGGTAAGACTACCCTGGCTACTAAACTATTCAATGATTGTTTTTTCAAGTATCATTTTCATGTCCGTGCATGGGTTACTGTTTCTCAAACATATAAAAAAAGACATTTGTTGATTCAAATTCTGACATCCATGGGTGTTCAAGACCTTGAAAAAAAAAACGAGTCTAAACTTCGTGAGAAGTTGCACAAGAACCTAATAGGTAGGAGATATTTGATTGTGATTGATGATATCTGGAGCATTGAGGCATGGGATGAATTGAAATTGTTTCTTCCCCATGAGAACACGGGAAGTAGAATTCTGCTCACAAGTCGCCTCAATGAAGTTGCGTTGCATGTAAAACCACACGGGTTTGTCCACTCCTTGTCTTATTTGACAGAAGAAGAAAGCTGGGAGCTATTGAAACAGAAGGTGTTCCAYGGCGATGAGTGTCCCGAGYGGTTGATTAAACCCGGAATGCAWATTGCAAAAAAATGTCAGGGACTACCTCTTTCATTGGTTGTCATGGCAGGAGTTCTAGCAAAAGAACCAATGAGMAAAGATTTGTGGGAAAAAATTGCTTGTAGCATCGGTTCATACATTGTTAATGACCACAAAGGAAACCTGGAAACACTAGCTTTAAGTTACCAYCATTTACCTCATCGCTTGAGAGAGTGCTTTCTTTATCTAGGAGGCTTCCCAGAAGACTTCGGGTTTGTTGTAGAAAAGTTGATATGGTTATGGGTAGCTGAGGGATTTATTGAAGAAGCTGAAAATCGAAGCTTGGAGGATATTGCAAAGGCTTACCTTATGGATCTAATCAACAGAAATCTTGTAATTGCTGCAAAGAGGAATGTAATTGGTGATGTGAAAGCTTGTAAACTCCATGATCTTGTGAGGGAACTATGCCTGCAAAAAGCAAAGGAAGAAAGATTCTTCCTTAAAATAGATTCTCCGCGATTGTCTTCTCAACTTCGTGAGGTTATTACAGGTAGTCCACGCCACGTGTTCACAAATGAAGACATCAGCATTGTGAACTTCACTTTCTTCCCCACCCAAACCATTCAATCGCTTTTGTGCTTTCATAAGAAGATACGCTCGATTGAAGTCATTGCATGTTCCTTTCTGCTTCTTAAGGTGTTAGATCTACAAAGCTATCTATTGAATGATTTTGCACAGGAGTTGGTATTACTAGTCCACTTAAGGTACCTTGCAATTTGGTATTCATCTAAATTCCCATACTCAATATGCAAATTATGGAACCTTCAAACCCTCATTCTTCAAACAGATCCTTTTGTCAGTGAGCGTTTTGCTCATAACATACAAGAGTTGGTAAATTTGAGGCATTTGTGGAGTAACACCTTGCTTTATCTTTCTTATATTGGAAAACCGATGAATTTGCAATCCATTTCGAATGTGGTGTTCAAAGATGGGGTAGATAATCTTCAGAAATGTTTTCCCAGCATCAAGAAGCTTGCATTAAGTTGTTTCAAGGATGACGGATATCACTTTGAGTTGCTCCCTTACCTTGAAACCTTGAAGTTAAGGGGGTCGGGTTTGCGACAGAATCATATTTTGTTCCCTGCAACTTTGAAAAAACTTACACTCGTATTTTGTTTTCTACCATGGAGCCATATGTCAATCATTCAATCATTACCTAACCTGGAGGTTCTCAAGCTAAAATTCGATGCCTTTACGGGAACACAATGGGATTCATGTGAGCAGCAGTTTCGACAACTAAAACTCTTGACGCTTCAGAGTATAAATATCAAACACTGGGAAGCCTCTACTACAAGCTTCCCATGTCTCAAACGATTATCATTGTTGAACTGCTACAATCTGGAAGAGATCCCCCTTGAAATAGGGGAAATCGCGACGCTTGAGCTTATTGAAACGGACAGCAGGAGCAACTCTGTTGTGGAATCTGTAGAAAGAATTCAACAAGAACAACGCGATGCGGGAAACAATGAGCTGAATATCACTGTTGATGGAATGGAGTTATCCTTCTATTTGTCTCGACATGAGGGTTCAAAGTCTGAATGAGAACATGTTAAGTTCATGTCGAGTCGCAAGTGACCCCATTAATGTACTAACAGTTGTAGTAGTGTAGTTTGTGTTTCTTTCTCGTTTTATTTAGTGATTCTTTCCATTCTGAAGTTGGATCTAATCTATGAGATTACTTTAGGGTGGTAAATAACTATATCTTGTTACTACACTTGCTTAACACGACTAATGTACTCATTGGGGAATTCTATCGAACACTTGGTGTTCATAAGGTGATGGTAATTACGTCTCTTATGATCTTATCCCCTACCCCTACCAAAATGTCATAAATGTTGAAATAAATTGCACACCCCACGAGAAAATTGAACCAAGAAGTCAAAGAATGAAACATACCAATATCAAAATGGTAGAAATCAAACACGCAAAGCCGGAGACAGGACAGAGACGGCTGCTGGTCCTGTATAGTGTAGATAGATGCATAAAAAAAAAAGCTAAATCCCGAAGCCTGGCCCTGCCCTGTCCCGAGCCTGATCCGAAAAAGCCTGTTCCAAAGAACCCGAAGCCCGGTCCAAAACTTTTGAGTGTTTGGATAAACAACTTATACCGATGTCAAACTGGTAATAAGAAGGTTATGTATAAGTTAAACCCTTCTGACTTATAATAAGTTGATAAGTGTTTTTTTTAGAAAAGCATATGTTTCAGATAAGCAATCCCAAACACCCCCTATATATCTATAAAACTATGGACACCTATTTTGAAATGGTCGAAGTAAAATGGTTGGACTTAATCATTCAAATGTCTCTAATCGGACCGATTCAACTTACCGATTCAACTTAATATTCACTTATGAATATAGTCAAAATGCTCAATAATAAAATAGTTTCATTTATTTATGGAAATAATGAGAGTTCATTTATTATGATTTGAATATTTATGAAAAATGACTATAATTCATTAAGTATGACCAATATTTTATATTAGAAAACAATCAAAACTTTTATAAAATCACATATTTATCAAATTAATGGACGGTTGAGATAATGTTGTACAAATGTAAAAGGGTTGTATAATAACTCACATCTAATCGTTTAATATGTAAAATGTGTTGTACTCGACTACAACCACTTAACCACCCATCATTCAACGTTTCTTTTACAAATAGAATTCAAACCCATGCTCAAAATGAAAACTGAATTTGGATCGACTATAAATCTTGTGATAGATCTTAACTTGTACGCCCACATGAATTGTCTTGGATCCTATCGTGGTATCAGCCGATACCATGATATGATCCAAGAAACCATAGAATTCACATGGGCATACAGTTCAGATTTTTTTAATCCTGAAATGGAACAAGAAGAGTGTACTTCTGGGGGATTTTTATCCAGATGAAGTGGAACTCATTTGAACAACAAAATGTTTGACCAGCAAAAGTCAAAATTTTGACTTCATAAAGACAAAAAAAGGAGTGAACCAGGCCTAGAGAACATGGAACCTGGTATTGAACAGCAACTAATTTAAGCATGCAATAACCATTCAGATGTAAAATTTCATTTCCAGCCCTCATAAAATCAACATGTTGCCACAATCTACATAAAAACCATATTACATATTACCCAAATAGTCCCAAAGTCTCAACTATTTGGTGTTAAAGAATTACATATATCAACTTACACAACATATCCTGTTTTCAAGACACAAAAAAAAAGGTGAGCAGTTCATCAAAAACTATATAAAGGGTAATCAGCACTTCACCATTCATCAATGAAAAGTCAACTTTCATCCCATTTTCCGACTAGAATCATGTCCAAAACTCACAGTATCGAGCACGCCCTTTGACCCTTTCGCTTCTTTTTCTTCTTTTGCTTCGGTGGCTGCAGAACCACTTTAATGGCTGCATCAAAAACGGCCTTCACATTCTGCAACAACCAAAGCAAGGTCTTGATCAAGATCACGGTTGACCATGGAACTGTTTACTCCCTCCGTCCCAAAACAAATGTCCACAAGGAAAAATGCACACGGTTTTAGAGATGTTACTAAATGACAATTTTACCTTAGCAATTGAGGGAGTAATGAATGTCTATATCTCATAATTAAGGGTATAAATGGAAAGTAGGCACTTGCTTTTAAAGGCGGACACATATTTGGCGACAAACTAAATTAGAAATTTGGACATTCTCCTTTCTATTTTCAGGTGTCCCATGAAAACTGCAAGCTTTCTTCTTGGGCAAAGTTTCAACTTAAGGCAAAGTTTCAACTTAAGATTAACCATTCGCCCACCATCGAAGAGTACACACCTGTCCTACGAAAATTGCAACTTTTTTTTTCAATTTCAGATGTCCCACGAAAATCGCTACATTTTTTTCAGATGTCCCATGAAGATAACAAATTCCTTATTTGTCACAGTTTCAAGGTAAAAGTAAAGATTACCTACTTTTCCCTATTATGTTGTTGATGGATAGTTTAGTAATTTGACAAATTCCTTATTTGTCAAACTATCAAGTCAAATAATGCAATTTTATAGGAAATAGGAATTATATGTAATTTCCATTTCATAAACCAAACTAAACAAACCCTGTATATTTCGCTCGGAGGTCAGGTCTTTTATTGTGTGTGTGTGTGTGGGGTGGGGGGGTAAATGTAGTCAGACCTTTCCTCTATCCCAATAGGCAGAGAGATTGTTTCCGAGAAGACCCCAGACTTGCAAAAAGGATTTGGAAAGTTTCAAGTTAAGATTTATCTATTTACGTTATTGTTATTGAAGGATGTCTTAGGCATTTGATTAATTGTCAAATTGTAAGTCAAACATAGCAACCCCCAATGCTATTGAAGGATATCTTAGACGTTTGCGTAATCGTAAGTCAAACACTGCAATTTTTATGGGACGGATAAAGTATACTGATATACATATGATATGCATAAATGAAACATCACCTGCTGTGTTTTTGAACTACACTCTATGTAAGCCGGGGCACCAATTAGCTTCTTCAGCTCCTCTCCCTGTGCAAGTATAATAAGATAAATATCAATTGTATTACCAATATGCAATATTTTCCATAAGATAGATAGTGCTTAAAAAAGCATAAAAAGCATTTTATAACAAAGAATGTAGGGCCCACTCGTCGAAGTATATAGGACTCGCTTGTGAAGAAGCCTCTTTCTTAAGACTTATAACTTATTCATATGTGAAGAGTTATAGACCAAACCAAACGCACCCAATGAAGTTCACGCGAAGTGGGATCTAGAGAAGGTAAGATGCACACTGCCTTTTCATAAGAGGTTGCTTCTGTGAAGACCCTGGCTTACGAAAAAGTTCTGCTAACTACAAAATTCTATTACTAATTATAAGGGGATCTAGGCCTTTAAATAAATATTGCACTTTCCGGTATAAAGCCAAAACTGGATTGGGTGCATCTCAAACGATGAATATAGTGCATACAACAATACATGTTCTGTTAAGGCCCAATAAGTGGTAATAGATGGGGATTGTGTCAACAAGTTCTTAACCATTATTCATGTTGTGGAATATCTTGAGGACTATTTTTCCTAATAATAACAGAAGTTAGAACCTCCAACATATGGGTATAGAGCCAAACAATCCCAGGTATTCTAGACGTTCAATAGTGCACACATGTAAGGCCCACTAAGTGAATAGATGAAAGGCCCACTAAGTGAAAATAGATGAAGACCGTGTGAGAAAATCTCCTTATACATTACTCATGTCTAACGTTGTTATACCCTAGAAGTCAATATATGAGGTTGTGGTAAGGGGAGTACAAGTGGCTAATGCATTATTACAAGTAGGTAAAACCAACCCAAACTGACCGAGTAAATCCCACTAGCAAGTAGGGTATGGGGAGGTGAATACCATTGACTACTTGCTAATTCCAATTAGAGGTACATCATATGTTTCAATGATTGTCTTTCTTAATAAAGGAGACCGATTTCGTAGTCATTCATCGTGTGTAATACCTTGAAGAATTTTTGCCTTGTTGATAAGGGTAGCTAGAACTCTAAAAACTTAGAGAAGTAAAAGATTGCACCTTCAGATATCAAACTGAACAACAGTTAAAAGTTATCAAATATGATGAATAACACACATGAGAATCCCACTAGGTGGACATATATAGGATTTGAGTCAAGGATGCCTCTTCCTATGCACCACTAATCACATAAGATATCTTAAAGACTATTCCCTAACAATAAAAGAAGTTGGTTTTTTTTCTTTCTAAAAGATTGCACCTTACCGTATGAAACCAAAAAAGATTGCAGTATATCTTATGATGATACTGCCCACAAAGTGGATGTAATTGAGGCTTGTGTGTGAGGTGGCCTCTAAGCATTTTTCATCTTAATTAAGAGATACATCAATGAAGCTGAACAAGATGAAACGTAGTGTACCTGAGCCGTTGTAATTGGAACTGCACCAGGATGGTCGTTCAAGAATTGTTTATCATCCCGAAGATCTATAAAAGATGAAATTTTAGGGTCATTGACCATGAACATCACATAGTGATGGAAAAGAAGAGAGTAAAAGCAACCATTATGGCTTGTATTTCATTTTTTTCCTTGATGCAAAATAAAAGAAATATAAACAGTTTTTTCGTTGAGCAAGTTCTTGATAGTAAGATGTAGCTTTGATACTATACAGTTGTTTTGTCTATATTGACTTCGATCTCCCACAAAATTGCAAAAAGCAAACATTTGGAAGTCTCAAAGTAATTGAAAAGCATCTCATTTTTGCAATGAATGAAATATATGAATGTTAAATCTATAATATACTAGTGTTAGACATCGACTATAAAGGGACATCATTAAATCTCTAAGATTTCAAGCATCACAGCAAATTTCAAGAATTTTATGGTCATTCATGAAATCTAGCCTCCATTTTCTATGTGGAGGTTATGCGTAAATTGATCTTTAGGACATCTAGCTATGATAACTGAAGAACAAAATATACTCAATATATTTAACCAACAGACAGACCTAAATGAAGTATGATAAGCCAAATGTAAAATCATGGATAGAACGAGATAATAATTGCACTTGTTCATTTGTAATGAAGGTTAAAGAAATCTAACCGAGCTTTGTTCCAACAAGGATAATTGGAACGCCGGGTGCATAGTGCCTCAATTCAGGAATCCACTGAACATTACAAAAAACAGGACACGGATTTATTGTGTGTTAGTTGAACAAGCAGCATTGATAACCTCCAATCGTGCACCAAAAAATTATACGCATATACCAAAGAAAAATAGACAATGCAACTTTAGAGGTTAAAATGATAAATACTGACTTTTCAAATAAGGATAGCATGGCTACATCAAATGCTCCAAAAAGAATGGTTTTTCATGTTAAAACTTGTAAAAAGAACCATTTTGACATCAAATTTGGAAGTCAATATTTGAACCTAGAAAAATAGAAGCATAGGTGGCTTGGGTTGGTTATGTTTGGGCAGAACCAAACCTGATTGATCCTAATAAACCTTTGGAAAGATATAACTCGTTTTTATTATTAACACAACTTAATTATTTTAGTAAAAAATATTGAAAATTATTATTTTGGTAACTAGATAATTATTATACAAGATAAGTCATTCAAACACAAAACCTTGAAATAGCATTGCAAACAAGCTCTGGTTACTTTTTTATTATAAATAAAGTGGAATAATTTCTTTCATTATAAATAAAACTGGGTTGTTATTGGTAAGTAAATGATTTATCAATTTAAATTCAATTTAATATGAATAATCCAATTCAATTCTATTAAAGTTAAATAATTTCTTTTGTTTAATAATAAAATTGGGTTGTTTTTGGTAAATAAATGATTAATCAATTTAATCTCAGTTTAATACATCCAATTCAATTCGGTTTTCCTCGACACCTGAAACCACCAACAAAACTAAACTGGTGTTATGAAAACTTTAAATTAGTTAGATTAAGTTAACTGTGCAAGCATTTTATTAATGAAAATGTACACAAAACTTAGTCTTGTTAACAAAAAAAATACCAACAAAGACGGAATCACCTTTTTGGAGACGTTCTCATAGCTAGCCTTGCTAATGAGAGAAAATGCAAGTATGAAGACATCAGCACCACGATAGCTCAAAGGTCTCAATCTATTGTAGTCTTCTTGGCCTGCTCAAAACAGTAACATAGTTTTACAACAAAAGATTTACAAAAACGACTTTTGTCAAAGTTATAAGCAACTAATTAATCAACCTGCAGTATCCCACAAGCCAAGATTAACAGTACTCCCATCTACCACCACATTTGCGCTAAAATTGTCGAAAACCGTTGGCACGTAATCCTGTTATCATACATATAGACATGTAAGATATCAATCGATGAAGGTTATTGTCCCATCAGAATCCGTATTGATCAATTAAGAGGAAATAGATGGTCAACATTCTCTTGCATCATGCATGAAATTATATACATATTGAAATTATTTGCTTCCAAGAAAGTATCATTCCTATTACGGTATTACCACATAACAAACACACACAATAATTTTAAGTCATGTTCATTCGTTATGTCATTTAACAACTTTTGTGTCCAAAGAAAATAAATCGTGATTATGGGTCCTATGATGTGAAACAAAATGAAAAAGTACCCCCATAATGGTGAAATGAAGAAAGGGAGGTAAATGAGTAGAAACTACAAAAGAAAGCACATACATAACTTTTAAACAAATCCCACATCTTCCTCTTGTTTCCTTCACCACAAAGAAATATTTATTTAGGATAATGGGTCTGGGGGGCCACCAACTATATACTTTATCCATATAAGTTTTCATCCCCAAAAGAGTTTCAAATATGTCTCCCACTCACAAAACTAATTACCAGAAGATTCTTTAAATAAGTAGAAAACTAGCAATAAAGGAAGATTTTGTTCACAAGGACCGGGATCTACTCAAAAGCTCTCTAGAAGTACACCTACATGAACCATAGTGGTGAGATCCATACAATTATGACGTGGAAACCTTTCTTCCATGGTTTACACTGCCAAAGTCTAAACTTTAAACTATAACATCTCTACAACAATTGTTATTAGAATCACCAATGTAAACCTAACTCATTCATTTCATGGTGCAGCTTGTATGTGGGTACAAGGGTGAGGGGATTTGTTAGACATGGAACCTTGGATCCGGGTATAAATTTGCAGCCCAAACTTTGATGGAAAAAATCTTCGATAGGTTAGGATGACAGTTTTCCATTTTTATCCATTTTTATCCATTTTCTATCCGGTCTACTTATAATAGGAGCTAGTCTTCCTTTTGTGAATATACTACTAAAAATTCACATTTGAACAATAAAATCCAAAAACCAACCATAGATGAGGCATATTGCTCAAGGGATGGTTCAAGAGAGAACACAAAAGGGGAGAACAAGGGAACCCATCCAAACCATCCGTTTAGTTTAATCCAACGTTTGTGAATAATAGGGCCGGTTAAAGTTTGCGAAAACTAAATTCACGATTAAAGGGACAGTTACGTTCAAATTTGAGCCATCTACTTTTTAGATTGAACGTTGATAGGGGTTTCCTTATTCTCCTTTTTTTGTTCTCTCCCTCTATTGTTGAAACCACGTAAATAATGTTTCTTCGGTTTCTTCTTTTTCCGGCAATTTACCATTTTCGGTGTGATTGTTGACCCTATCAAGGGTGGAGGCAGGTAGGGAGGGAGGGAGGCCTATGTGGACAAAATGTGATAGTTGGCCATCTCCCATATGGCCATATCTCTTATCCCCATTTATTTCAAACAAGTTGCATTCACAGACCCCAAATGTAGGTACATCTAATACACCACAATTATTCAATTCTCATTAAAACAAATAAATTCAAATTCAAAAATGCCAAAAAGTTCAAGAGTCAAGTTAGGGAATATTTTTCACACAATAAAAAATTAAAAACAACCATAAAAACATGTTCATAAAGAAATTTCTCCACAGAAAATAAAAACACAATTTAAGAAATAATTAACAAAAAGATCAGCAAGAAACTTTCCTACAATTGAATAATTTCATATCAATTTCCAAAAGTCAAACTGAAAACTGTTTTAACCACAAATCATCTTTTGATTCAAATCAAGAACAAATTAGGTCAGGATAGAACCGATGAACATCAACCTAGGGCAAAATTAGTTTCTTGAAAATGAAAACAAATAAATCAACACAAGAACTCAAGAAATCAATTCGAGATAGAGTTGACTTTACAGTGGGGAAAGTGTTGCTGGTGTAAGAAATAAGCATACACGTCTTCCCAACAGCACCATCGCCGACCGTCACACACTTGATAAACCGAGATGCGCTCATTCTTGACTTCCTTTTTCCCGGTAACCGGAGTTTGACTTTGACCTCCGACGACCAAATTCAATGAATATTCTTGTTCTTCGCCTTGATTAACTCCTCTTCCCTCTAGACTTCAAGTCAAGAAAAACTGCAAAATCTCCCAAAAAAGAAAAACCCTAGAATGATTTCACACTAACTGCACAAACAAAAACCTAAATTAGTAGCCACATTCATCGATTATGAATAATTTCATATGAATAATGTGTGTTTTTGTGTGGGTTTTGTGTGCAGAAAGAAATGGGAAGCACCTCTGGAGAGAGAGAGAGAGAGAGAGAGAGTTGCAGTAGCTTTTGGCAGCCAGCTATATTGCTTGATAATTGATATTAGTCCTTTTCAAAGATTTTCAATGTTCCTAAATGTTGTCAATTTTGTATAATTAAGATGCTATAAATTTTTATATTATTTTTCATCTCAATTGTTAAGAGGTAAATTTTGTTTAACAAAAAAAAATCTATTTTTTAATGGTTCTAAAACCCTCTAAATAATTTTATATCATGGGTCTCTTAATCATTCAGTACCTTGATTTCGTTGTAGATAATTACCAAACAATTATATTTCATTTTACACTATATCATGAGAGCTTTTTAATTATTCTGACCACTTAATCATTATGTACTAAACTATTCAGCAACTGCCAAATAGCCTCGTACGAATGTTTGTGATGCGGTGTGTTACGTTTTAAAGTTGGAAAACTAGTTGATAAACTAATCATGTTTTGTAAAAATTATCTGATAATCTAGTTGAGAAATGTAAAATGATTGAAAAAAGATTTCTTAAAAAATCAGTCGATTATAATATTTCATAATATAATTAAGATAAGTCATTAAATAAAAATATTATTTTTAATAAATCATAAGTAACAAATTTGTAGATTACTCAAACAAAAATGATGTTGGTCCCTTTTGTTAAGAGTGATAATTCAAGATCATCGGTGTAAAGATTGTAATATATTATTTATTATTATTATTTTTAATAATTAATCTTATGTGTAAAATTCATTTTAAATATATGCTTAATTTTATTGTGCTTTTATTTTTATGCTTTTCTTAATATTTGTTTCTTTTTTATATTAAGGGGTTGTTCGGTTCGTTTTCTATTAAGACTTGTATGGATAAAGATGTTTGTATTGATAAAATTGTCTGTATGGTAACTTATAAATTGTTGTTCGGTTGTCATGCTGAATAAACCGTCTAAATGTGAAAAATGACATTTTTACCTAGAATCATCTCTCGCCGACTCTGTCCCTGTGTCGCCGACTTCCCTCTGTCGTCGACTTCCCACGGACCGACCCTCTCACATCCCTCCCTCGCCGACTTCCCTTTGTCGCTGACTATCTCTCTCGTTCGGCCTCTCAACCCGAACACCACCACTCGCCGACCGCCACTAACCGAACACAACACAGACCCACAGACCGACCCTCCCACCTCCCTCCTTTGCTGACTATCTCTCTCGTTCGGGCCCTCGATCTGAATACCACCACTCGTCGACCGCCACTAACCGAACACAACACATACCCACGAACGACCCTCTCACCTCCCTCCTTCGCCGACTCTCAGTCACCCCAAATCCACCTGATTCTCCTTGTTCGGTGTCCCCCCAAACCGAACACAACACACACCCACAAACCCTCTCTCACCTTTACATCGATCTCTCTCTACGCTGCACACACCGATTTTAAAATTGGTTCCTCTCTTACTTTTGGCGAGCCCTCCCTCACATCGATCCATCCCTAGCTATTCGGCACCCTCCTTCGTCCCATCTAACCTCGTCGCTACCCCATCGGAAAGGCATGGGAGTGAAAGGGGAAAAGAGGGAAAGGGTAAAAGGGGAACAAATGGTTTAATAAAGGGCTGAATACAAGAGACATCACTTTCCTAGCTGAGCAATTCAGCCCATGGCTAGCCGAATAAGCCCATACCGAACAGCTGGATATGGCTGTACGAATAAGTCATATCCTTTATACAACTCATTAAGCTCCTACCGAACAGCCCCTAACTCCTATTTTGACTTTTTGTCATAACATGCCAAAAGTTGAAGTGGGCTATGGGGCTGTTCGGATTGTTTTTTGTTAAAACCTGTATGGATATAGTTGTCTGTATATTAACAGATAAGTTGTTGTTCGGTTGTTGTTCTGAATAAATCGTCTGAATGTCAGAAATGCCATATAAGCTCTTGATTTCCAGATTAAGCCATAACCAAACAATCATTTATGGCTCAGCGAATAAGCTATACAGTCCAATAAGCCACAACCGAACAGAATGTCTCTTTTGCTCAATTTGTTTAAATTTTGATGTTTTTGGGTTTTTTAATAAATAATTTTTGAAAATTATTATTTTTAAATTTATTTATTTATCTATTAATATTTTTTTTAAGGTTAAATAAAACCATCAAAAACACTAACTAAAAGGGGAACAGAAATGAGGGAGAATAGTTAAAGAGGACAGCAACCAACGGAGGGACTGAAAACCGAGCATAAAAGCTAAAACATGACGGTAAAAATAATGAAGAAACAAAGACCGAAACTCATTCTCACCAACGAAAGATCAAAGTCTAAGAGAAATTCTTGTAATGGAAACACATAGGCCTTTCCAAAAACACTCACGAACCAACTCTATATGTCGAGTAGAGATGGTCAAATGGGCCCGTCCCAACCCGGGACCAGCGGAGGACCTGGATCGGGACCGACTTTGGACCAGCCTAGGCGGGGACTGATTGGGACCGGTTTGGGACCGCCGGTTATAGTTTTCATCCAAAAACAAAGTTTAGCCCGGCAGGGACCTGCCCGATTTCTTTTCAGAAAAAATTTATTTTTAAATGAATTTCTAGCTTTCTAAGTGTATTTGATTGAAAATCAAATTACGAATTTACAGTAAAATATATATATATATATATATATATATATTTTAAGTGTATTGATTGAAAATCAATTATAAAACTATAATAAAACGTAATTTTTAAGTATATTTGATTGAAAACCAATTATAAAACTACGATAAAACATATTTTTAAGTGTATTTGATTGACCTAATTAGATATTTTAAAGTGTATTATAAAATCATTAAAGCATTTTTAAAATTTTATCAAAATTTTTTTTTAAAAATATCTATATATAAAAAAGAAAATGTTTTTTTAATATAGGACCAGTTTCGACCTGGCCCGAGACCCGTTACCGTAACTAGTTACAAGTACCTTTAATCGAACCTTAGTATTTTAGACGGGACCGAGACCGGTCCAAGAAAATCCTAAAAACAGTAACCGGTTCGTAACCGCCGGTCCATAACCGGTTACTACCGATCCAGGTCGGTTACGGTCTTGAGCCGGTCTCGGTTTCGGGCCTCCGTCAGTTACGGACCGAACCGGTTACGTTTGGCCATCTCTAGTTTCAGCCTATGACCGATTTAGGTCCGGCCCGGCCCAACCCAGCCCCATACCGGTTTTTGGCCATATCTATCATCGAGACCTTGATCTCGACATCAATCCGCCCAAAAAATCTTGAATTCTTTGGCTCATTTATAAATCCAATGAAATGTTGAAGCTCAAATCAATAAACTTATCCATGGTTTTTACAAGTCAAACATTTGTTTTTTGAATTATCCTATTTATAAAATTAAAAAATAATAAGATTAATAACTACAGATTTCACATCATTTATAACTACCAGTAGTTTAGAAGGATACTCGTACAATACAATGAGATACATTTCGATTTTAATGTTTTATTTTATTCTCTGTTTTTGTCGATGTTATAAAACGATTTTATGTGGTTTTAAAAAAGCGATAACATTTTTATTTTTGAATAAAATATGAATTTGAAGATATCTTAAAATTTTGAAAAAAATATATATTAGTATCAAAATAACTACTTAAAATTCTCGTTTTTTTATAATTTCTTTAATTCAATTTTTTTATTATAATTTAATTTAGACTTACTACTTATTTTTGGTTTAATAATACAAATTTAAAAAAAAACAATAATTACAAATTATATTTTATTTTTTTATATTTAAAATAAGATGTTTATCTTTATTTGATTATGTTTATTTATTATTAATTACACGAATTGAAACATGAAACTTTAATAAATTGTATTTACGTACAATTTAATTGTAATCTTAAATTTTAAGTAATGTGCATCAATAAACAATATTTCGCACATAAAAAATAATTTTTAAAAGTTTTTATCAATTATTTATATAATTAAAATGATTTGGAGTATCTACCAACCCTTTGTTTTGAAGCAATTTTTATTTTATTTTTATTTTATATTTGTTAAGATCTCATTATAAAACGTAATATTTTTTAATTAATTATAGTGTTCGACAGTTTATTCCAACGACGCCATAAAATCCATGTAAGCATTCTTTACCATAACTATATGATCGGAAAGATAAACGAGTGTAATCACAAGGGTGGTACCTGATTGGTTTGAGCTTGGATTCAAAGATCAAAAGTATCAGGAGGTCTCAAGTTCAAATCCAATGAGAAATAAAAATCTCCTTGTGGCCACGGAGGTTCAAATGCAGTGACTCCGGGCTATCTGCAAAGCAAGTGGTTGTCCTGGGATTAGTCGGCTCGCATAGTAGGTTGGATATCCAGGTTAATTAAAAAAAAGATAAACGAGTGTGACGTTAAGCAGGTGTTCATGGTGTTTAAAACGACTCAAACCTGAAACTTGATTATCAAATAAGCATCATATTCAATACTGAATTGACCAGAGTATAAAGTGATTGTCAATGAATAATCAACGTCATAGAACTATTTGTTAACATCAGTGCTGTAAAATCGTTGTCATCCAGAACCAATGAAACATCCTTGGATGTCAATTTTTATGGTACCAGTATATAAATAAAGACAAAACTGTACATATATTAAGAATTTCTGATATCGTTTTGATCAGATATTGATTTTTGTCAAGCATAAAATATTTCTGATATACCAGGTATTTATTTCAGTACATAAACTGATTCAGATGTTTGTCAATCATCCAAGACGTCATATTCGGTATTGAATTGAATGAAGTGTATGCTGGCAGTCAATGAATAATCAGCGTCATAAAATTACGTCTTAACATCAATAACGTAAAATTGTTGTCACCCGAAAACAATGAGACGTATCCGTAGCTAAAATCTATGGACGTCAATTGTACGATGCCAATTCATCAGTAAAGACAGATTCATATTTATATTGTTTCTTTAATATTAAATTTCAGTGATGATTGTTGAGATCGTAATTGTATTATTTGATGATGAGTCTCAGTTAATTACAAATTCATCGGTTGAAATCCAATGGATTTAGGTGGATTCGATCCGATCCAATCATCCATTGGATGTTGGATTTTGTCATCAAATTCGATCCGATTAACATTGTACATCCGATATGATCTAAATCCAATGGATCATTGGGTATAATCGGTTCCATCCATTGAATTTTATTATTAGTTATTCATTGGTTTGGATTGGATTCGTCCAATATTTTGATCCAATTCTCAACCAATTATTCATATATTTTCTTAAGTTATTAAAAAAATGTATATAAATATCAACAAAAAAAATATCTTGGAATGTTAATAATTATATATAGTTATTAATTGGATATTAGCTTGATGATAATTGGATGGTCGTTGGATTGGACCGGTTAGGTTTTATTGGATGATGGACTACCATCCAAGAATCGACTGATCCGATTTGGATGTTGAAATTTTGGATCCGATCTGATTCGACTACAATTGGATATCCGATTATGGTTGGTCAGTTGTAACTGGATCAGTCGGTTAAAATTGGATCGTATGATTTTCTACACTCCTCTAGTTATAACACCACGGCGGTTATAGGAAGGGACGACATTCGGGTGTTTTGGCAAACCACAATTGTTATCTTGTATTTCTGAAACTATAAGGATGAAAAGTGTTATAACTGACAAACCATAGGGACTAAATTTGTAATTTACTCCAAAACAAATTTTGGGATCACCCACCAAAATCCAAAATATACCATTTTTTGTTTTTTTTTTTGGTATACTTTTCATACAATGAATCACGATTGTGATGGAATGTGAACAATAATATCATTAACATGGACAAATCTTGAAACTTAAATTAAAATTATCTGGTTGTATTTTTTTAATTTAATTTATTACTGAATCAGATATTATCCGTTTTGTTTGTATCTGAATTAATATGGTTGGATGGTCATCGGATGATTAATTGAACCGATAATTGGATGTTGATCGGTTCGGTTTTGGTCAATTCTAGACTGTCATCCAAGAACCGACTTATCCAAATTGGATGTTGAAATTTTCAATCTGATCTCATCCAATTATGGTCGGTCGGTTCTAATTGAATCATACGGTTCTAATTAGATCAGTTGATTTTCTGCACACTCCTAATAAAGGTTACCTCTCCTTGATTTTAACGATTTTAATTGTTTTTATTTTCCCAAATCTCTGTGTATTTTAAGTTAATTACATGTATGCCACTTCTATATTGACCCTAGAATTTTTGATCTAATGTTTGTAAAGGTGTTCTCTAGTTTTTCATTTATAACATGTTTATCAAAATTAGTCGTTTTTTAAAGTAATAGAAAAACTCGATTTGGTCCTAAATTTGGGTGGGTTTGATGCATAAACAAGACGAAAAAGAAGGGGACAAGACAAGACATATGAGAGTGAAATATGCAGGTAAAAGAATAGAGCAGGTTTCAGAGCTGTAATTTGAGTCGCGTACAGTTTAGTAATTTATCCATCTTTTCTCAGATCTTTTGTTTCATCTATTTTAGTGGGTTATCAAAACGCATTGTAAAAATATCAAAAGGAAGCAACTCGATTCTAGTATCGAACTCGAGAATTATCGGTTCGAACCCTTTTTAGTCCAAACTCCTTAGGATTCCAATTCACTAATGAACCAAAATACTTTGGATCAACTTACAAGTTACCAACCAGGGGGTGTTTAAAATTTCGAGCATTTAACAAACTAATCGAACTCGATTTTGTCGATCTCAGACTCACTAGTTTTCGAGCTCAAGCCAGGCCATAAATATTCGTATATAAACATTATTAAACTCGAGCTAATAAAAGTCAACTGATCTCGAGTTCTAGCCCATAAACAGGCTTGAAGATCCAAAATCATTCGAGCATTGAGGTCGAGCTAGAATGTTGAAAAAAAATATCTGGAACTAAGCTCGAGCACTATTTTGAGAAGAAAAAAAAAACCATTCGAGCTCGAGTCTTGATATTTCTCAAGCCAGGCTAGAACCACCCATTGCTCAGCACGTTAACATCCCTACTTACAAGTAACAACCCATGTTCCTCTACCCATGCAGCAATGAACGTAAAATTATGAACCAAACAAACCCAGTATACCTCATCCAAAGCTAGGTTATGGGAAGAGTAAGATGTACCTACCTGATCGTAGTTGTTTCATCGAATACCCACGGATTGTGCATAGTGTGTAAAAGTTGCCGGAAAAGAACAAAAAAACATAGGAGAAAGACCGTTCAAATCGCAGTTATTGACAATTCATACGAAAGAGACACACAGCAAAGGATTCATCTCTGTAACTATGGGTAAAAACATTTCAAGTAAACACCTGAATACATGCATGAAGTCGATAAGAGATAAATTTCAAATTCTGCTAGTTATTTACACAACAATTGTTGTAGAAAACAAACAGTTTGAAACGTCCATCCTTCGGAAGCAAAACCTCGTTCATGATCGAATCACCACATCCGCAATTAACTGACAGAAAAACAACCAAACAAAATGATCGAAATCGCAACAAAAAGAAACAAAAGGGAAACGACATTCAAATCCTATATGAAACACTTGAATAATTCAAATCTTAGGCCATGCTTGACAACCATAAGCTAGCTTGGTTAGCCATAAGCAAGCTCACATGGGCTTTTTTTTTTTCCTTTTCCAACTATACCCCTTACTTTCTTTCTCCAATTAAATGTTCAACATGTCCTATTAAGTCATTTTACATTGATTTACCAACTTATCAGCTAGCTTGTTAGGCCATGTTTGGCAACCATAAGCTAGCTTTTTGAAAAGCCATGTCTAGTAGCGTTTCAATAGGCTTAAAAAGGGTTTTTCCATTTTTTTTCCTTTCAATCATGCCACTTCAATTTTTCCAATAAATGCTTCAACATGTCCTTTTAAGTCATTTTACATTAGCATCCAACTTATTAGCTACCCTTTAACAAGCATAACTAGTTTATCAGCTAGTAGTAGGACATTATAAGCATTATATACATTAATAAAAGTAGCAAACATATGATTTCAGACAGATTGCTATGGAACAAAGGAAAACTGACCTTAACGTTGCGACCGCTGCTGACAGTCAGGGAGGGAGGGCGCCTGGAGAAACTTTTATTGAGCAGAGCAGATGAAATGCAACCCCATTTATAAGACCGGTTGTTAAGATATGTTTCCAAAAGCTTTTTCGGATACAATGTACAAAATTCGGTTAGTTTCAAATGAAAACTCATGACAAATCAAACGATCCCTGTCCTTCACTGATAGCATAGAGGAGTTGCTTGTGCATGATCTCCTGTAACAATTTAACCACTTGTTAGACCCAGCCAAAATAAGTATCCAAACCAAGGGTCTGTTGTTAGCAGCTTAATGAGACTCGCAGCTTATACGGGGCCAACTATATGTAACTGTTTGGTAGTGGCTTAATGATATAGGAAGTGGCTTATCCAGTAAGCTTCTAGAGAGAAGCTTTATGCAGAAAGCCAAGGTTTTTTCCAAACCTACCCCTCCTAATTAAAAAACATGCTCCTTCCATCAATGTAAAACCTTCCCAAACAAAAACTTTCTCAATCTATACAAACAGATTAATCTAAACAGATAGCTTTATCCACACGACTTGATGAAAAACCAACCAAATAGTAAGTGAACCAAAAATCAAGTCATGAATAACAATGTAACAGGTTTTCTACTGTCCTGTCATGTCCGTCGTACCAAACGCACCCATAGTGGTTTATACTCCATCCCGAGAAATTTATGCCGATTTCCATCTTGAGGTATCTTATGATAATTGCAACATTTTCATCATTGGCAAGTTTTAAAGTTACAATTACGTATTTGCACATTGCCATCTTTTCAATTACTCAATGATATTCATCTGGTTCACAAGTTTCCATACTTTTGTTTGTACTTTGGACATATGACAAATAGCCACACACAAAATTATGACAAATCAAACATTCCGATTTTCGTGTGACACAGAGTGGTATCTATGGTGGTGCCATAGTGGTATCCTAATGGGAAAACTCAAAAACATCAGGCCAAATTTGTACTCAAAATAGGATATTGTACCTTGGTGGAGTAAGGAGGAAGCTTTAAGTAATTAGCACATGTCATCACACTCGGCAAGTCATCATCAGCAGGTTCCGACAATCCAGCTGCATTGGTTGCAGTATTACTGGCTGTTGAAGAAAGCTGTACCAAAAGGCGAGGTTATAAGCACCTTTACCCGAAAGTTGGATAATAATAATAATAATAATGACAAACAGACCATCGGTAAGACATATACCTTTCTCACAATTGTCAACTTAGGATTCAACACTGCCAAACCACCAGGAGGCAGCCGAGGTGCACCAGTGACAAATTGACAGAATGCCCTTTGCTGTTCCGAGTTGAATTCTCCCATTATCTCAAGTAACTAAATAAGTGTGGACAACAAATTTCATGATAAGTTTTCTCCTAAATGCCAGTGTATAACAGATGGAATCCAAAATGGATGAAGGGTTTACTTACATTAACCACTGCAGGGCTCTTGGAAGTATATCCATGATCAAACTTTATGTGTTCCGCAAGTTTGTCAGCCTGCAGTAGTAAAAAAGTTAAAAAAAACACATTCTTCCATGGAACATTCAGATTTAACCATGACAAGTGGACCAGAAAGACATGAATTTTACCTCCCATAAGTCTCTGTGGCCACAAAGCAAATAATCCAATTCATTTGGAGAGAATATTTGCAGAGCCAAAACGTCAAAGACCTGATGGTTGAAATGTAATTTACAAGTAAGATCTTGTATGTATGTTAAAAGACATAGTATAAAAGTAGCTATGTTGAATCTGTAACAACAAAATCTTATTTTCTTTTCACACAATATACATTAGTAGAAATAGAAATTAAAAGACACAAGAAAGAAAAGAGATGCATAATAAGAATCGTCATTTCTTTTTACATATGAGAAACCAATATAAAGGCTGTAGGTCAAGTTGCCTACAAGATAACTAATCGAACACGATATAAATAGATTATAAGCAGGCTTCAGATATTTGCAAACCAATCACGCACTAAAACAGTAGGCAAGAACACGTAAAAAAACATACAAGAATTACAAAATTAACCAACCCTGTCAAAACTATGAATAATAAGCAGAGATGGTAATGTTCAAATGGGATGGTTTACAAAAAGAAAATGAGCACACACGATTACCTAGGGCATTAATACAAGACACTAATGCTATTGACTTTCAGATATGAGACTTGAAGAAGCAAAATGAAATGTAAGTAACAAAGAACAAGCAAGTGGACCTGATTGAAACCGGCTCTGAATGCGTCCATTTGGCGCATGATACCAGTCTTGACAGTAGCGGCAACTACAAGCGAAACGTACTCCTCCAAATTGTCTATAGTGACCTGTAAAAAAACCCAAAAAAACATATGAATAAACCAAGCACAAAAGTTATGTTTATGATGCAAAAAGGTCATTAGGTAAAAGGATGCATAAGTACATCTTCATCGCCTGGTTTTAGAACAAAATCAGGATAGCCGGGAAGTGTGAAGTCCAAACAGAGATCTTCAATTGGAGCCCCTCGAAATTTTAAGTCATGTATTTCATTGCGGTCATGCCCAGGCATCGACTCTAGGTATTGTTTCCGACAAACAAGGGCTTGCAACTCTTGCAATGTCTTACCCAGTTCAGCATCAAAAGAAGAAACATCATGTAAATCAAGCTCCTGCAAGGAAGGAAAGGTGCATATCTCAGGCAAAACAACAGAACAGAGTATAGTGAAGTTACAAAGATTGCAATATCCGGACTCTCAAGAAAACTAAACAAACAACTTACTTGTCCAAGCACAAGCTTGTAGAATGCAGTTGAAAGGGGCAGGTCCAAAAGCCGCCCATCTTGAAGAGCCTTTGCCATTACACAACCAAGGAGTCTGAAATACTCGATCACCTTGGCAAACTGGCCACCACCAGAAGAATCAGCAGCAACGGGCCAAGGACTTGGGAACAACCCAAGGGGTGCTATGATAAAGTTGCCGGCACCTCTGCCAGAAGCAGGCCCAGAATCATTTGTTTTCCCATCTTTCTTCCCTTCGGGTTCAACTTCCATTGCCATGCTGACATCCAAAGAATTAGATCTCCACATTCTCAGGTCAGCCCTTTGAAGATCATGACTTAAAAGAGTATAGAACTCCAAAGTAGGACCCAGTCCAGTGCCAACTTCACCAAAATATTCTACTTCTAGAACAGCCTTTTGGCTTGAATACATCTCCATGACTTTTGTAGCAGAATCCAAAATACGATTTCGGGAAACACGGACTTTCTGCCGCGGTAATGGTCCAACCCTCAACTCTCTCTCATTCATAGATCCATGGCCATCTGCACCTTGCTGCTGCTGAAGGCGATGTAATGCACGAGACAACCCGAAAGCAGTTGAATAGAAATACTGGCGCCTAGTTTCAAAAGGAAACAAGAATGGGCATGCTTTCGTCAGCTGATAACACCATGATGGAAGACTACCACTGCAAAGTGCAAGCACGTCTCGAATCTGCCCAGACAATTTTGGAGTCAATTTACTATTGATGAACTCATCAGCAGGAACCCTAGGACCAGTAACATTCAATTCATTTAGACTTGAGAATTTTCCTTCAGAGAAGCTGTCGATAACTGCCTGGACACGTAAACGTGGTGCAAGCTGATTTAAACCCTCTAATACACGTAGTAGAGCTAATATATTGTAAGCAGGATTATTCTTTTCCAAATCACAAGGAAGTTCCCCTTGCAAAAGGCTATCTAAAAGAGACATTTGATGCATAGGCGAGTCTGCATTGGAATTCGAGGTAGACCCAGCTTTGGATGATCTAGTTGTTTTTGCTGAGTTTACGTTCCCAACTGATGTCCTATCGCTTTGGCTGTCTGCTCTATGGTAGGTGACCGTGTAGATATCACTCCATAGTCTGCTACCATCGCTAGATACAAAGTCACTGCTGTTATACCTCTCATCATCAACCTCATCCAGGACAAGGTGTTGCTGAACAGCTTGATAGATGGTTAAATGTCTGTTGAGTTGCTTACCACCTGAAGAAAAAATCAGTCTGGGAGAATCATTGGAGCCAAAGAGGGCCTGCCCATGACGATCTCTACCTCCCCCAATACCCCTACCATTTGCTGATGCAAGCCCAGCCATGGCAGCAGCAGCAAATGACATTGCACCTCTTGAACCGAACGAATTTCCACCCCTAAACTCTGTGGAGTCTGAGCCCTGAGCTGGAGTTCCTTTGCTGCTAGAACCACAAGCTGGATTTGTCTGGCTATCACTTGTTGCAGGACCGGCAGGACTATCCTCAGCAGAGTCGGGCAATTTAACATCGTGAACATATGGCATGTAAACTGCACCTGAATCACCCCTAAGCACCTACAAACATGAAAAAGAAATCATGCATTAGGAAGAACATGTACATGATAGGATTGTGAAAGATAATAAAAAGTTATCAATGAAGTTGGCAATAATTTTCCTTCAAATTCAAGTTCTATTTATGAGATCAATAAATGTGCCATCAAAAGTCACCATAGCCACAGAAATCACCATCCATTTCAATATCAAAATCTTAATTCAAAACACATAGGAGGTCCGTCTGTCTCCTCCTTATGCTCTAACTAAGATCCTTAGTAGTCTCTCTCCCTTTAAAAATGTCATGAAGTTCCCCAACACTCCCCTATTTATTGCCATTGAACAACTTGCATAACCCCCTGTAATTTTTCTGACCTCATAACTTTTCGGTTCTCATCCTTGAAAAGCATTTGATGTGACTATGACCCTAGTTACCATTTACTTTGTTTTACCAACTTTAGCATGCCTTTCTCCTTGTGTTCCTTCTTTCACATGACTTCTAGCTTCTCTTCCTGATTTCTTAGCTTTTGTTTTCGCAAGTTTATATCTATACGTCCTCTTTACACTCTTACATAGCCTCTCTCATTCTCCTCAATAGCCTTATGTACCTCCTTCCCTTCAAATGCACTCATGTCCGTTGCAAATATTAGCAGCCTCACACAGCTAATTCAATGCCATTTTTAACAGGTTGATCATTGATAACACTTAAATTCTCTCCTTTCAGATCTGACAGCCTCACTAGACGGTTCCGGCACTCAGTCTAACATCATCCCTAATATGGATGTCCAACTAAAAGCCTACATCTATGTATTATGAATTCTCTCTCTTCAAATTCAATACTATGCACTCCCCATGCATGCACGACAACTGGCCCCCTTACCTTGTTAGAAGAAAAGCTATATGGCTACAGTTTTGACCACTTCTAAAGGTAGATAGATAAGAGGCATTCCTGAAGAAGTGTTTACGATCCTCAAATTGCAAGTTATTGCAAAACTCATAAACAGCTCTTGATTCTTAAGACCACGCAAAAACTTCTATAAATTATCTTAGAGCCTCCATGATCTCTACTTACATTGTAATACCTGCACCATTCCAGTCCTATCTTTCCATGAATGCAAAAAGGTAAAACTAGTGCTCTTGGTCTTCCATCATTCATCAACCATTTAGTTTCTTATGCAATATTCATTCTCCTACTTAGCACATTAACTAGCTCCCTCATCCTCACCGTTAACAAATCTACATTCCAACTATCCAAAGACAACACCTTTAAAATGAATGAGGGTATTTATTGTGCTGGCATGGACTTGACAGACACCCCTCAGGGGAGTTGGAAGATCAAGATGGTAAATTGCTACTTATTTCTATATCCCATCCAAACACTTAAAATACATCTTGGTCACAGCAACTTCAAGCTATTGAATTCGATATGCAAAATGAAAAATTGGAATAGAACATTGAAAAACAATTACCAATGCATTATCATGATCGTCATCATCATCCTCAGATATTTCATCATCTTCAATTACCAATGCATCATCAATTTCGACAAGTGATATATCTACATCCTCGTCCTACAGTGTAGACGAAAGAATACTGAGAATATTAGCAACAAATGATAAAAGACAATAGGCTAATAGGAAAAGGGAAAATATAAGGCAAAGCAAAGCAAATAAGATCAAAGGTATCTTACAAGAACAAGCAGCAAGCCGAAAACAAAATGAAAATAAAAACGCAAGACATGAAACCAGAAAGGTTAGATATTCGAATTATTCTGCATAAGGTAAGTTTCAGTTAACAAAAAAGGTCATCAAGGCATAAAGGGATCAAGACCTTTCTCCTTGAACTGTTTATGGGTCCTTTAGTCCTAACACCTTTCTCCTTGACTATCATGAGATGAAGACCCTAATAAGAGTGAGTTTGAACGCACCATCTAAATGTTGAATGTTGATGTCCTCTTAAAATTCCACTTCATATATATCAGGAAAGGGGACAGCACAACCCCTCCCATCAGGACACTATGGTACAACCACCAGAAGGAGAATCAAAAACCAATCTCAAATCACTTTACCTTCAGGTTTGCCTCACACCCAACATTTTCACCACTTGCACTGTTGTTTTCACCACGTAAGAAAAAAAAAAGAGAAAAACTAGTGCTGGAAAACCTATGTAAGAGTGTCAAATAGCAGATGGAAGGAGTATCACATTATCTCAAGTAACCGAAAAGGCCAAAATCATTTCCCACCTCTACTTATCATGTCTCTTCATAGTTTCAGTTTACATCAATGTTTTCTCTCATAATAATCGTTCTTCACTTGATTCATCGAATTTTTTGTCAAGTAAAATTCTCCAAAGCATCCATCTAAACATGTGTCAGCACTTGCTTAATCCAATCCGTTTAGATTAACAATATAGGTGCTCCACTGTCCAAAATTTCAAGACCCTAATTCAATCTGAAGTTTTTACATCATAGAAAAAACTGAAGCCTGAAACCGTTGTATTTTGTTCGACCGATATTAGTGTACACTCTAAAACTATCTATCATTGATGTCAAGATATGAAATTTATAAAATGAAGAGCAACCCTCCCACCCAAAAGAAAATTGTAAACTGTCAAATTAGTATTTGCTTCATTCAACCCAAGGGCAGTTTAGGTCATTAGTTGATATCGAGCAGTCCTTTAAAATACTCGTTGCATCCACTGATTTGATATAGGACACAGCACAGGATGCATACATAAACACATAATACTCTCAAGTGTCAACAATATGACAGGGCGTCCATTAATATTGACGAGGGCCATAGGAATAGACCAATAAAGTTATGTTCATAAGATAATCATAAAAATAATTGTGATTGTATACATCTGAAATTAGTCAGAGACATGTATTTGATTGCATATATACCCACAAATTATTAGGTCCTATTCATCTAAGCTATTTAACAATATCATTTTGTCGTCTCCGTTTGTGATTCAAAGAAAATGAAAATGTAATCCTGGATCGATCGATCTGATGTGATGAGGAATGAAGATGAGGCGCGGAAAAAGAAGAAAAGAGAAAGTTGGAACAAACGAGTGGCTTACTATTTATAAGGTTATTATGAATTACATGGTAATTGTGATATTTAGTAGTTAATAATAACATGAATTTGGAATTTTAAAGCAAAGCACACATCATTAGATGGTTTCAAGAGAAAAGAAAAGAAGACATTTTAACCAACAACATGCAATTTCAAATCATTGACCGCAACATCATCAAGGAAACACTTGTATTAAACATGGTTCGAATATGCAAATAACATCTAAAAATATTAAGTTCCAACATTAACATGTACGAAGCATACCTCAGATGTAGATTCATTATCAACAGATTTCATCGAAGTGTCTTTATCAGAAGCACCCCTTCTTCGAGCAGCATTTCTTGTATGGGGTCCTCTCCCCTCATCTTGAGCTGGCTTCAAGACAGCCTTCCCCTTCCCCTTTGAAGAGCTTGCATTTTTCTCTACTGGTGTGTCCTTTCCAGCTGAGTTCCCTATATTAATTGATGATCTGGATCTTGTGGAGTGACGACGGGTAGCTGAAGGAGTCGAAGAAGGTGATGAAGCGCTACCTCCTAGAGGTGCATTCCCAGAGTCTGAGTTCCCGACAGAAGCAGAAGGCTTATGGCTAGATTCGCTGCGTTGAACCCGGGGCCAGAGGAAGTCTTCAACAGCTGCCAAGCTCGCTAAAGGATCGATGAGGAGAACATTTGACGAATAATCACGAAGAGATTTTTCACCATGCGCTCTGCACAAGCGCAGTTTGAATGACCGAGGCGATGCACTCAGACCAGAAGAGAGGCGTGCATTTCCAGTAGAGGATCTAGAACTGTGGCTCAGCATTACTGGAAAACGCTCTAATGAGGTCAACGCATTTTGAAGCTTCTGAACTAGAACACTCATGGGGGCCAATTTTGATTCATCGAAGTCGGAGGGAAGGGCAACTGCTATTAACGCCTTGTATCTTCTAATGGCTTGTTGACGCAGCTTAGGCAAATTCGCTTCTGCCACTCTTTCCTTGGAAAAGCATCCACAAGACAAGTAGTTCAGCAAAGCATCAACAACACCACTTCCAATGAACTCAAATGTGGAGACACCATCCCCTTTGCTTAGCTCCGCTAGCATCTCAGTTATCACTCTTAACAAGTTCTCTTCCTTGCTAGGTGAAAAATCAACAAGCCGGGGTACAGAAGCTTTAGACTTCCCCTTGGACATTATCTTATGCTCATCTGCAGAAGCGCCCAACTTTGTGCAAAGATTCTTCAAATGTAGAAGATCATCGGTAACCCCAACTTCAGCAGCTCCAGGAACTGAAGGGAAGTATTTATCTTTGAAAGCCTTTGCACTTGCACTCACCGCCATCCGGAGACTAGAATTGACAGTAGGAACTTCAACAGAATTAGGAGGTGAACCAACAGCAGGGACCGAGTTTTTGTGATCTTCAGCAGAAGGTATATCTGCATTAGAAGTCCCAATCCGTCGTCGATAGCGTCGAGAACGTGAGGATGATCCAGGTGTAGAATCATTATCCTTTTCAGTTGATAATGGTTGGGAAAGAGCACTCCCAGATGACCCAGCCAAAATCAGTGTATCTACAGCATGAACCACCCCCTCTCTCACAAACAGCTTGGAGAAAGTCTCAGGAAGCTTTTCCATTAGGATATCTGCAATTTGAAGAGAAGGCAATAGGACTTGTGGGTCTTTCCATGCCAAAACTCCCGCCAAAAAACTGGGGACAGATTAAAGCATAAACATTAGAATATCTACGTGATTCAATGAAACCAGCACATCATAGATCTGTCCATAAGAGAGATACCTTGATATATTTGTAACACCAAGTAGAGACTGGATCATATCTGCTGTGCTGAAGTACATCAATTTCTCAATAACCGAGAGACATTTGTGACGCACAGGTTCATTCACGCTTGACCCATACATCTGCAAGACAAAAGATGTCCATTTGTTAAGTAAATGGTTGCACAGACAATGAACCATCTGAGTTCTCTTCAAAACTAACCTGAATTAGAACAGGAAGAAGGTCCATCCCAAACTGCTGCAAAAGCTCAGGTTGCTCAGTCAATAATTTCTCTCGGCCCGAGATCTCTGGTGTACCACCACTATTGTCTTCTTGCTTGCCAGAACCGCCAACAGGTGACTTCTTTGAAAGAGACCCTTTGACAAATAAGCTAGTACTGGCAGGAAGAGAGATGATTCCTTGAGGCAATGGAGGAAGAAGCTCGTTTGTCAAATTCACAATCTCAAATATCTGCAAAAGAAACAGACAAATTGGTCAAAAATCTTTTGAAGTCCCTACTATTGTCAATATAAATGAAGAGTTAAAGCTGTTTGTTTCTTTGATGGTAACCACTGAAATCAGAATGTAATTCTGAATCAAAGAAGTGTCTGAACAGTGAGATGTTGATAGCGTTTAATCTCTAAGGATCAAAAACATCTGCATAGATGAATCTTCAAAATCCTATGATACTATGTAAATGTGTAGAACGGATATGTACAGCTGAGATATCTACTCAACTTGCTGGTTACTTTTTAAGACTTAAATAATTTGGATCCTAAACAATTTCCCTGAAAGTTGCAAGAGATGCTATTAACTAGATAAGAAACTGATTTGGCAAATTCTGCAATTATCAATCTTTTCCTTAATTGCAACTCTTCAAGTTACAAACACCAACAACTCCCTAGAAACCTTCAGAACAGTCCCTTCCATTCCCCCCCCCCCCCCCGGCAAACTACTGCTACAACAACTTAATCTAACAACAATATGTCTTCCATTTTTACAACTTAATCTAACAACAATATGTCTTCCATTTTTACAGCTTAATCTAACAACTTAATCTAAAGGGCCTTTTAGAATTTAAATGGCCATTTATCACAGGTAGAATCACTAAAGAAAATAGCATAAATGCAAATAAACTGCAAAGTAATGACTAAATATAAAACTCAATCAGCATCCCAATAATGAGAGCATAAACAAAGTAATAGTATTTTGCATGGGGTAAGGAGAAAACAGGATATAAAGAAGTATTACCTGCTCTGGTGGCCTACTCAAGGCAGGTGATACAGACATGGTTGCAGCAAGCCCAGAAGATGATAATATATCTTTGAGAATGCCACTAATCCCAAGAAGCAGCAAAGTCTTTGATCCTAAAGGAGAGCCACTTGCACAGGTTGAAAGCAATCGAATTAAGCCCTGCCAACCTCTGTGTTAAGTGACGCAACCTTGAAAAAGCAAGTCTATTCAAATAAACATAAGCAATACCGTATATGTAGATGGGCTGAGAGATGCCTGTCCACCTCCAGAACTGCTGGTTGAAATGAGTGAGGCAGCTTGTGTAACCAGCCCATGGTTGCAAAGCTCATCCTGCTTATCAGATGATGCGGCAAATGCCTCTACGATTCGAGTCAAGCAAACTGATGCATGCTCCAAAACCTAAAAAGAGAATATTATTCCAAGAATCAATCAGAAGCAAGTGAACATATAATTAGTTAACGAATCTTGAATGCTTGGTTTTGGTCCTCACCTTGGCGTCATGATACTGAAGAAGATTTGTCAACAAAGGAACGGCTTCCATGACAAAATCAGCTGCATCAGGTGGTAGTTTCTTGCACATATTTGCAGCAGTAGATAATGCTACACGCTAACAAATAAATCGCATGGGGGTAAGAATTAGATATACTTCAAACCATATTCAGTTTTTCCATATAACTAACATTATGATTAAAAGGGTACCTGGACTCCTGTAGAGAAGAAGTCATAATACGAAAGCACTGCCATTAGTGCGCCTGCCCGCAAGCATGCAGTTGGGTGCTCCTGAGATATCTTCTTAAGAGCTTGCAAGGACTGTTGCAAGAATGGTAAGCATCAATATTACTACCATGATCGATGCTTCAAAAAATTTAGCAAAGATATCGATATTAATTATAAGACATCAGCAAAAAATAATATAGAACATTCATAGCCTAATTTCTGCAGCTACTTGCTACTATCAAGTCCACTTAGAGTTGCTCACATACACAGTTCAAGATTTGTTATAAATGGATGATCAATCTGACCCGACATATTTTCAGCGACTGTTTTTCAACCCAAAAAATGAGATCCATTCAAGAACTGGGGAATGGATGGCCTAAATATTGTGACCCAATTCAAATTGGGCCACCAAGTCGACTAGGGTTTAGGGTTAGCAAGCCTACGACACCTTCTATCATGTTTTTCATTAAGATTGCACGACATAGATTACATTGATCGAACAACCCAAATATATGTGTTCTTGTGTTTGATTTTTGCTTATTTTTGTTCTTCACAGTTTTCCTGTATGCGACAACAATCCATTGTTCCCTTTTTTATATGGACGGACCTACTATAGGGCATACAGTGGCACGTGCCTCCGTATTATTTCTCCGTTGAAGGGTAAAAAAATTAGGTTCGTGAAAGCTACAACCGTATAATTTGATGTCTGCTACCGTATGTATTTTAAAACTACAATGAGAACAAGTTTTATTTGGTAGAGTTGGTTTGCAAGGCTTTATTCCACCCCAGACTCAAGTTCGAATTTCGTTAGTGTCATTTTCTTAGTCAAATGGTGCCCACCGTTTAGAAAAATTTCTGGGTCCCCCCCTTGCCAAGCCATTTTACCTAGCCTCCATAAGTAATAGAAGTATTCATGGTATATATAGAAAGAATGTCAGCTTAAACACCGCATCACTCTTAACTTCCATAAGTAAAGTAATAAAAAGTATTTAGATAGTAAGTTGGCACCTGTTCAGCCAAGTCCATGTACTCGATCGTAAGCAATCTAGCAACAAAGCAAGAAACCGCACCATAATGCACAACTGCAGCGCATGAAGACGGTAGCACATCACATAAATGTGTGAGTGCCCTAGCTGCAAGCAACATAATATCAGGATTGCTCTCATGGTTAAGCAAACCAACAAGCACAGGCACAAAAGAATCAACCGAGAAAGTGCTTAGTGAATCCTCGGTTCCTATAATAAGCATGTAACACAACTGAGTTAACGCCTCAACTTGCTTTCCTTCTTCCCCATCAGCTCGTAAACCGGAAAGAATCTTCTTTAGCCGTCCATTCTGATGAGATGAGGAAACAGACGCCATTGCTGATGACGGGAGCAGGTCATCCAAACCTGCACCTAGTTTCCTTAACAAACCCTGAAATGCACTGCTGGCAGAAGTCAAATTCTGATGTAACATCCCCACACCGCCACCATCGCTGTCATTATCCTCATCATCCTCATCATCAGCTCCGCCACGGTCTTTATCAAGTCCTAAATTGTTGTCTCTGTTATTAACTCTATCTCTATGCCTAACCCTAACTTCATTCTCTTTCTCTTTGCCTTTATCCAGATTATCCTTGTCCAGTCCCACATTCGGGTTATTCATGTTCTTCCCACTGCGACGGGTACGACCCGACCCGGACCCAGACCCGGAAGCGAACGGCTCGTTTGTGTTGGTATCCATGTTAGAAGCGCGTGAACGAGTACAGACTGATTGAACAACGACGTTGGAAGCTGCGGCGGCGGCTGCTGGGGAGGCAGAGGAGGTGGTTGAAGAGAGACGAGTGCGTTTGTTGGAACGAGTGGTGGGACCGCCGGACGATGAAGAAGATGGGGCTGATGAGGTGGCCTCCGCCCTCTTCCGGCTACGAGTTTCCATACAAAACCCCAAACCCACCTTTCGAATCAACGATCAACGACGATCGAAGAAACAACAAATACTTATCATCATCGTCCTCTTCCGCGTATAATCCCTCACACAGTACCTGGTTTTACCCCCCAAAAAAAGGCCCAATTTCCACCAAATCAGACAAACCCTCAAAAAATCAATTTGATAAATCAAGAAAACTTTTGTTTCTTAACTTGGTGTAACCCGATTGATTGCAAAGAAAGGGTATAGAAAGATGAATTTTATGGGGAAAGTAGAATCAATCCACAGAGAGAACTAAAGGAAAACCCTAATCGAGAGGTTGCAGTTGTGTTATATGTATATGCATATAACTCTTCTTTTAAAGAGTGCATATGGACATGTTTATGTTCATGTGTTAAAATGTCTTTTTCTTTTCCTTCCCTTTTTTTCCCCTAAAATTATTTAACTTTATAAATCTTTATTTAAATATATATCTATATTATTTGAAACAACTTATGTTATTCTATAAAAGCATTTATCAATTTATTATAAGTCAAAAGGATTTAACTTCTTTAAAAATTTCTTATTACCGGTTTAGCACCGGTATAAGTTGGTGTTTATTACCGGTACCACACCGGAATAAGTTGATTTTATAAGCAATCTCAAACATCTCATATATTATAAAGCATTTGACAAAAAATGGCGTAAGTACAACTTATTAAAGTTCTATTTTTTAATTCGTGTAACTAAATGCAGATAAACATAATCAAAATACAGGATAAATATCTTATTTTAAACATAAAAAATCTTAAATATAATTAGGATAATCATTGAGTTTTAACAGAATACTTAATGATTATAATTATCAAAAAATTATATTGTTAAACCTAAATTAAATTACTTCGTTATGTTAAATTAAATTATAAATAAAAAAATTAATTAAAGAAATTACAAATAATTAAAAATTTTAAATAGTTAATTTGATACTAATATCGATATATTTTTGCCAATTTTTATGATATCTTCAAACTTATATTTTATTCAAAAATAAAAGAATCATCGCATTCTCAAAACTATATAAAACTGTATTATATTGACATAGATAAAGAATAAAATGAAACATTGAAATCGAGATGTGTCTCGATGCATCGCACGAGTACCCTTCTAGTGTATATATATATATATATATATATATTGATTGGTAAGAGAGACGGTAACAGAACATTTGTATAAGGCGTATAAACAAAAACGAAAGTAGACAACGCCTAAACACAAAGTAACGAACCGAAAAAGAAAGAAAATACCAAACGAAAGACTAAGCCAAGGTAACTTTTAGATCAACCGAGAGGCCTACAACACCAATCCGTCCATAAAATATTAAAGCTTTTAGTACGATTTGCTAACTAACGATACGAAAAAATTTGGATATCGAAAGCTAAATCAGTTAGAGGAGGTAGTCGATCAAAGAACACCATTTTTTTACGATAACCCCAGATCACGTAAAAGGAAACCTGAAGAACCATGTGCCGAACCACAAGGGTGGTGTCTAATTGGAAAGAGGAAGATCAACAGCAGAGGCCAAAACCGTGTTAGACAATATGAAGAACGAACACCGTTTGGGCAAAGGGAGTGACGAGGGGGAGCGATACCGTTGTTTGCAAAGGGTTTTAATGGCGTAGGGTTTGGGCGCGATAAAACTGATTTAGGTTTATTTTACTTTAAAACAATCGTAGTCTGTTACAAGTAGTTTTTTTTTAAATAAATAGCGTTTGTTGTATTTTATGTCGGCATAAAACATAACAGGTGAATATTATTTCAACTTGGTTGTGGGTTGTGTTATGCAGTTATACGTAATAATTAATACGTCGAATAATTACAAAATTCCAAAAACGATACTTGATTTAAGCATAACTTAAATTCTTCTTCGAGCTTTTGTTGAATTACGTAGTTTTCCTTGTAACGAAGATACAAAAAGCGTCAACACGAATGATAGAAAAGGGTAATCCTTTTGTCATTTACGCTTTAGAGGGGTTCAGCCATAAATGTTTTCCATGTTCAAAACGTTTCGTCCAACAAACGTAACTCTTAAGGTGTGCATATAGACAAAGAGAACGTGATTCCAGAGTGAACGGTGTTTGTAGGTTATACTGCAAACGTGTGATACATCAAAACAAAAACGACGACATAATTTAACATAAATACATGAACGTCAAATAAGGTAGGCGACATGTCTCTACAAAAGCGGAAGGTTTGTGAATTGGGCATAATATCTGGATTTGAATTTTGGTAACTGGATATGAAAAATAAACATGCTTAACTGACGTTTTATTATGAAGTGTGTAATAAATGTTTTTTGTATGGGGGGTCCTCGACCCCTTGGCAGTGAATGACGAACGTGCGACGGCAATATCTATATATAAGACAACTTCTGCCCCTCGTGTCATACGATTCAGTATCAGTTCTTTTAAATGCGTCTACTTGTTTTACTCTATTTAAAGAAAACAGTTCCTATATTATTTTCGACCCATTACTCTATATGTCATATTATATTGTACATTTTATTTATTGTGTGAAAATGATACAACGTGTATGTATTTGGCGTTCGTGTGATACAGGATATAGTGTCTATATGTGCAAATCGACCACAATTCAAAGACCTAACACCACCATGCTAATCTAGTACGAGAAATAGTCAGCCATGCTCGAGTGTGGTGGTTGACTCTAACCTCGTGTATTCGGTTGATCATATTAAAAAGTAACTGATCGTGTTTCACATAGGATACAGTTAGTAACTAATACGTTTGATATAAACACCAATCAAACTCGTCACCTTGTAATGTTGTACAGGGTTTTTCAGCCATTCGGACCTCAAAAACATCGTTGTTCTACTTGTAGCGATTTTTTGTTTTTGTGTTTATTTCGAACTTGTTTGGTCTTCGACTCAGTCTTCAGACGTGCTTGTTAGTCGCCTAGGGTTTTTCTTTGTCCCTATATAAACACCCAGAAGGTGTTACGTTTAATTTTATTTTATTTTTATCTTACTCATTGAGAATTCGTATATGATTTTCTTGAGTTTATCGCTAGTAAACTTTTATTGGATTGAATGTTTGTTAATCCTACGTGTTTCTCGTTACATCAATAAAACAAAACCAGTGTATTGAAAGCTCTGTAAACCATCCTTTTTACGGGCATCTACAAATACATGATTCAACAAATAATCAGTTTTCATACAGTTGTTATATTTCTTCTCAAAGATAGCAATATACGATTACCTCATTGTATAACTGCATAAAAGTTTAATACACGATGGCATTTTCCTTATATGATTGTTTTTTTTTATTAACCTGGATATCCAACCCGCCATGTGAGCCGACTAATCCCAGGGCGACCACCTGCTTTGCAGATAGCCTGGAGTCACCGCATTTGAACCTCCGTGGCCACAAGAGGATTTTTATTCCTCCTTGGATTTGGACTTGGGACCTCCTGGTACTTTTTGACCTTTGAAGTCAAGCTCAAACCAATCAGGCACCACCCTTGTGGTTTAGTCGGTTACCGAAGAATCCATGAACATATAATGGATATGAGGCGAGCATACATGCACACACACACATATACATATACATACATATATATATATATATAGAGAGAGAGAGAGAGAGAGAGAGAGAGTTAGGATCGTGTAAAATTCAATTGATATTTGATAGTTATTTCGTAGACTGTAAATGCAAATAGTTGTTTAAAGAAAAAACGTTACCATAAACACAAATCTATACCCGAGAACTCGATTACCGACGAGTGTTTTATCTCATATTCTTTCGGTATCAACATAAATGTCAAAAATGGATGATACTTCATTGTCTTTTTATATATTAAAAGCAGGTTTTAAAGTCTATTTTTTTCCGACTATTATCATATTCAATAATCAATGCACTTGACGTTTTAGATCGTTATGTTTTGCATTTAAAAATCAACCGCGTTAAGTGAAAACAATTCTTCATTTTATAATTCAGTTTGTCGACGATAATCTATAAAATTTTCAATCGATTAATTTATTTAACAATAAACAGTCAAATTTAATCAACTATATAAGTTATAAAACAAGTAGTGTACAAGGTTTTCAATATGTATCCTTTTAAAAATAATTAATTAAATTTTTTTGATGAGTTGTTATAAATAAATTACTAAATTACCTTTTTATCTTATTTAAAAAATATTATTAAATATATCAAATGAGTAGTTCATATTATATCTCACGGTTATCACAAACTATGTAGTTTAGTTAGGCCGTTATATATATATAATATTTATATATATAGACAAAATCATCTATTATATTTAAATTTCCTTAATTATCTCATTCATTTTCTGGTTTCATTTAGGTTATATGTCATTTTTATAAATATATCATCTGAAAACTAAAATCAGTAGTTTTGGAAAAAAAAATTTATCATTGTTTTACTTCCATTTCATTTCATTTCAATTCTAAAAAAGTTTAAAAAACACGAGTTTTTTTTTTTAAATTCATTCATTTCCCCCACTTTCATCGTAATAAAGGTTTAAAAAACACAACGTCATGCAAAACGGAAAAGCTCGTTCATTACAACCATTGATTCAGATTAGAAAATAATTGAAATATTTATGAAATATTAAACTAGATAAACGGTTAAAATATATTTATATGATATGCAAAGTTTTCATGATTTATAACCTTATTATGGAACTGTTTGTTTATCTTTTAATAGTTTCATTAAGAGTCAACATCTGAATCGTTACGAGGTGAATCTTGTTTGGCAGAAAAATATGTCTCTTAATGGTTCTAAAACTCTATGAATGATTTTGTATCTTGGACCTCTCTTAACCATTTATCGACCTAATTTCATTCTGATCAATTTTCAAACAATTATATTTCATTTTGCACAAAGAGCCTCTTAATCATTATGACAATATAATCATTCAAAACTAAATCATTCATCACCCGTCAAACAGTCATTCCCTCTTAAAATATACTTTGATTTAATTTTACTGTTACTAGAAGTGTACTCACACAATGCAACAAAATAAATCTCGATTTTAGTGTTTCATTTTTATTTTTTGTCTCTATCAATATAATATGATTTTATGTGGTTTTGAAAAAATGGTAATGTTTTTATTTTTTAATGAAATATAAATTTAAAGATAACATAAAAGTTAGAAAAAAATCGATATTAATATCAAATTAACTATTTAATAGTTCTCGTTTTTTTGGTTTAACTTTTTTAATTCAAAATTTTATTATAATTTAATTTAGATTTAATTACAAGGTAATTTATTTTTGATTTAATAACATAATTTTTTATAAAAATAATAATTAAACATTATGTTAAAATTTAATGATTATTTTGATTATCTATATTTAAAATTAATATTTATCCTGTATTTGATTATATTTATATGCAGTTCGCGTAACGAATTTAAAAAAGAGCTTTAATAAATTACAATTAAAAAAATTACTTGTAACCTTAAATTTTAAGTAATATGCATCAATAATAAAAAAATATTTTATTAATAAAAAATAATTTTTATTTTTTTTCAAATATTTTATAATGGGGGTTGATATTGACACCCCCTTACGGTCATTTTTCACCCCCTTCGCCTCACATACTCTCCTTCTCACATATTCACCCCCAACCAAATTTTTTAAAATTAAAATATTAAATTTACATTTTATACCCTTATAATTAATTAATTAATTTACTTTACATTCTTTACTTTTAAATATTTCGTTTTAAACCTTTATCAAATTAACATACATAATCGTATATCAACTAAAACATGTTTAAAAAATACATTTTTATTTTAACAAATTACACCATTATAATTGTTTCGTTAATACCTTCGAAATGAGTCCAATATTGAATAGTTTTTGACCTAATTATATTATTATATTATTATTAATATACATAATTGTATATTAAATAAAATATGTTAACAAAATACGTTTTTATTTGTAGTTAATTATTTAATTTATGGTACATCTTCTTGGTTTTTCATTTTTCATTTTACATTCTTATCACATTAATATATATAATCATATATTAGCTAAAATACATTATAAATTACGTTTTATTTTAACAAATTACATAATTATAATCGTTTCGTTAATCTCTTCGAAATGAACTCAATAATGAATATTATTTGATTTAATTATATTATTATAATTGTATTTTCAATACCTTTGAAATGAACACAATATTGAATATTTTTT